CGAAGAGTTGGACACGACTTAATGACTGAACAACAATTAATGCAAGAATAATCCTTGCGGAGGAGTAAGGAGTGGGTAATGACCATGGAAAAGATGGTGACCCGGCTGTTGAATGATTGTTAGATTGAAATAGATTTAAAGACAGAAAGTTGACACTGAGGTAATGCAATCTTAAAAGAGTTCTAGGAAGTGAATGGTAGAGAGTTTAGTGATAATCAGTTTACAAGGTCAATTACCAATTAAAGTCAATATGCTTTTTTCCCTCTACATAGCATGTTAAGAATTCACATATTTATACTTCATAAAGTAGTGTAAATTGGCACATTACACACTGAATTTCTCCATGTTACAGTCAATAACAGCACGTTACAGCATTTAATAGCAAGTATACAGCATTTAATGTTTTCCTTTTACCTAGCCTAGTGAATCCCTTCTTAAACTGAAATCTTATTAATTACTGCTGGCTTCCATAGCCATTGATTTTCTTAGTTGTAATTAGATCAGCCAAACAAAACAGGCTTTTCTACAGAAGCAATAGTCCGCTATACTGATGATTATGAAGCCGAATACTGGGACTATATCTAACAGTGGACCTGATTACACTAGCATTACAGTGTATTGCATTGTATTACATTGAAATTGCATAATCATATTTTGAATTCTTTTAAAAGATTTTTAATATTCCTAAATAGGGCATCAGCTTGTAATATGTTAGAATTTTATTAACTGCAGCAAAGAAGTATTAAACTCTGAGATTATCCAATAAAATAAAAGTCTATCTGATATTTGAATATGAGTGCAAGAAGAAGGTCATCTGCTTTTTTAGCTAGTATTTCCCAGGTAAGTCACACATTCATTGGGTAGTTGTGGAAAGTAAAGCACATTCTTGCTGCCTGTAGACTTTTGCAGAATAGCAACTATAGCATTCAAAGGCAGTTTAACCAGGTAAACCTTATAAGTTGGAAAAGAATCTAAAGAGATTACTTCCTCTGGCCATTTTACAAGAGTTTATTTGTTTGTTATTTGGTTTACTTCTGCAATCATACAGATGGGGTCCCATGTTCTCAGAATCCTGCAGCTGCAATAGAAACCTGGATTGGCTTCAATAAAGAAGAGCGGGCAGGTTTCTTAGAGCTACTGCAATCAAGCTTAAAGGTACAGAGTCAAGTGCTCCCCACATCTCATAACATCTGCTCACTCAATAAAATTGAGTTCAGCAGACCCTGCCTGTATCCCCTTACTCAGGAATTGCCAACTACAGGAGCTGCAGAAGCTTGCCTTTTCAACCACTGCCCCCTCCTTCAGAATAACATTCACCAAAACAAATCTCTCCATTCCCTTTCAGCTTTTAAATACTTGGTTGTTCCAGGGGGGTTAGAACAGTACGGTTAGTCCCTCCAAAGTATGAAAAGTATTTTAATCTTGGTAGGTTTGATTGTTATGTATTTCCAGTCCTAGACACATCATTTTATGGTTTGTTTTGGCTTTAATCTGAGTTTATGGAGATGGGAATTGTACACAATTCAGAGTCGGTTCTGACAGAAGTGGCTTATTAGCCCTGGAGTTGTATGTATGGTTATAGTCCCTTTTTTCATTGTTTGAAATAAAAGAGCCATAAGAGACTAAGCCTTCATATGGACTATAAAAGTCCAAAGCTAAGAGATGTGGGAAATTTTAATAGAAAAGGGTTCTCATGTATATCATAAAATCCCAAGCCTAATTTGCTTATAGCTTTTCTTTTTTGGGATCTGTAACTAGCATGTTTCCTTTTGACTGAATTTATTCAAGGCTAATAAAAGTTCCTTTTGTTCCTTAGGAAATTGGAGAGAATGTTCATATCTATCTAATTGGAAAGGAGTCCTCTCGTACACACTCCCTCGCTGTCTCGCTGCATTGCGCTGATGATGACTCCATCAGCGTTAGCGGTCAGAACAGTTTATGTCATCAGATCACTGCGGCCTGCAAGCATGGCAGCGATCTCTATGTCGTTGGAGGATCCATCCCACGTCGCATGTGGAAGTGTAACAACACTACAATAGACTGGGAATGGTGTGCTCCCCTGCCCCGAGACAGGCTTCAACACACTCTGGTTTCTGTGCTCAATAAAGATGCAATCTATTCATTGGGCGGCAAAACACTGCAGGACATCCTCTCTAATGCCATCATATACTACAAAGTGAAAGACAACGTGTGGACAGAAACAAGCCAGCTGGAAGTAGCAGTGTCTGGGGCTGCAGGTGTGAATCTCAATGGTGTCATTTACTTGTTGGGTGGTGAAGAGAATGATGCTGATTTTTTTACCAAACCCTCTCGGCTGATTCAGTGCTATGACACCAACACAGAGAAGTGCTATGTGAAGCCTTATGTATTACCCTTTGCAGGGTGCATGCATGCTGCTGTGTACAAAGACTTGGTGTTCATAGTAGCACAGGGAGATTCTCTTTTGTGCTATAATCCTCTGCTGGATAGCTTCACTCGGCTCTGCTTGGCAGATGCCTGGAGTTCAGTACCATCCCCTTGGAAAATTGCCAGTTGCAATGGTAACATTTACATCTTCCGGGACTGTTACAAAAAAGGAGATGCCAGCACTTTCAAACTCAATCCAGCCACCTCTGTGGTATCCGTCACCCGTGGCCTCAAAGTGCTACTTACAAATTTGCAGTTTGTGTTGGCTTGAAAGCCAGGATATTTCAGTGCTGGAACGATGGAGACATCACATTCAATAGGTCTGAGAGATGCATAGATCCCTATAGCTCTGTCTTCTTGAGGCTGATCATAGTACTTTAGAGAGGTTTCCTACATCCTTTTCACAAGTATCAGCATCTTAGCTGTACCCTTATTTTCACTAGCACTTACTTAATCTGGGTTGTGACTGAATTATTGTTAGCACTGCTTCCCTTACTGGTCAGCTTCTTGCCTCCCAAAGCCAAGGCCTGAACCCATTCTTAGCAGCAGTCCTAAGTAGCTGAACTCTTTATGGCCATCTAGAGCTAGAGCACAGGCTGTGAATTTTGCAACCATTTTTCAAACGTATCTCTCCAATAAGTGATTTCTTGTAAAGTCCTCCTTATTAGAACTGCAGAAGACAATTATTGAGCTAGAATTACTTTAAGTAATGCATATTACAGATTTGTTGTTTTTCTGTGACAAGAGCGGGTTGCTATTGCCCAATGCATTTCCACCTGATATGAATAGCAAATTTACCCTTGTACTGCGTCATTACCCTGATACTAGGTGTCAACCCCTCCTTATTGATCTGTAAGAACTGGGGGTACAAATCTCAATAAAGGCTTTTACTGGAACAGCACTATGATTTCATAATACCTTGTATTTGAGAGAAAAAAGCATTGTCAAGAGGTCCCATGCATCTACTCTAAAGTAATCAAGAAGCAGAGACAGTATAACAGGCAAAGCACGCTCATCTATTGATTGCAAAGCAGGCGGTAATTAAAACTTTTATTCTACCACTGCAGAAACGAACTGACTGATAAGTTGCTCCTAAGCAATAAATTAGGAACCAGATGTTTTCAGAGGGGAAACTTGAATATCTTTTGGTGGCTTTGTCTCTCTTTGTGTATTCTGTGGTGGTTGGTGTTTTGCATCTGTTGGCTTCTGCTGTAGCTGTGCAGGATTTCCATCAGTTACAGACTTATGAAAGTCCTCTAATAACTCCAGCTGTTTACGACGGACAATGATATGAGGACGAATCTTAGCAATGACTTCAATTGCTTCCTGAGGAGTCCACTGGTGGACCTACAGAGGCCACAAAATCCAAATGTAATATCTATTTATTAGAAACTACAGTAGTATATTCCAGCATTATAACTGGGAAGCACCAATTTTTTTCTTTTCACATCTTGAACAGTTTATTCCTGATCAGCTATTTTGCCACACCATTTTTGACCTGTTCATTAAAAAAAAAAAAATCATACCTGAATTAAGTAAGCAGCAACCATGGTGGCACTGCGAAAGCGTCCAGCTTTGCAATGCACATAGACACTGTTTCCACGTTCACGATGTTTCAGTACAAACTTGACACCTTTCTGCAGATTTTCCAGTGAGGGGATTCCAGTCAAGTCCACAGTGCTAAGGCGCATTTGTTCTACACCCATTGCCTCCCATTCCTGTAATTAACCCAAAAATAATCAGAATGAAGGAGAAACACAACTGTAACAGAACTATTGGATCTAACTATCTAGATATCAGGAAAGATCCATCTAGAATAGCAAGTGACTATTTTAGCATAATTTATGAAATCTAAAAGGCTCAGTGAGAAAGACTTCAAAAAAGGAGCTAACAAGAAATCAGACTGGAAAGTTAGATGATAGCATGAAGGTAACTATTAGAAGTGAGTGAGTACAGTATTGTAAATTAAGGCAGTAATCAGATCAGGACCTTAAAAGCAAGAAACCTTGCGTCAGTGAAAGTCCTGCCTAATCTTGCATGTGTGACACATGGCAGCCAACCAGATGAATTGGGAACTTAGCAGTGGACAAGAGGTCACTGCTGTTCCCAAGCATCTGGTATTTTAAGGGATGCTGCTTAAACTTTATAGAAGGCACTATAAAGCCAGCAAGAGTCTTAACCATTGATAGTCCTATCCACCATTTGTATATTTCTCTTGAAGCCATGCATCTGATAGCTGGGTACTCTATAGTTAAATGTGTTGCATAAAGAAGTATTTCCTTTTATTGGTATTTAATTTCAGTGAATGAGGGTAGACAAAAGAAAATTCCACATCATGCATGATTTTATATGCCTCTATCATGTTTTCTAAGCAAAAAAGCCCCTAGTGCTTTAATTCTTCCTTGTAGTAAATCTTGTGTAGTCTCAAGTTGTTCTTTTATGTACCTTTTTTAGAATTTAAGTGATCAGAAGTACAAACAGTATTCCAGGTATAGCTGCACTCAGCAATGATTATTTTAGTCCCTTTCTAATGGCTGTTAGCATAGAATTTGTTTTTACAGTAGCCACATACTGGGTTGACATTTTTACTGAGTCTCCTGTCACAGCTCCAATTTCTTTCCTGTCAAATCAGACCTCATGAGAGTATATGTGAAGTTGAGGGCTTCTCTTTGCACTTGATTGCATTCAGCGTGTCAAAATTCATTGCCCTGCTTGGAGAAATCCTTTTGGATTCTTTTTGATTTTCCTACACTGAATTATTTGTCATTTACAGGCCTCTACAGAGAACAATAATCAAGCCTTGGGTTTTGTGTAAACATGAACAGGTCAAGGTGCCCAATGTTGCTATTTCAAACAGATGTTAAGCTATTAAACTGTATTGTTTTATCCCTCTTAAACAGTTGGTGCTCTGTACTTGGGTTCATATTCTGTTGAACTGTGGCTGTCAGTTGCATCCCTCTTAGTGATCTACTGGTGGTGATGTAAGTGGAACTCACCTCTGGAGAACAGCACAGGAAGCGAGTCTCATACTCTTCATTCATGGTAAGCACTCCTCGGATGTTCTCTTTTTCTACCAGCTGCAAGAAGAACCAATTCACACATGTCCAAATATGCTAAATGTGCTTTATTTTAATATTCAACCTGCATTCTCCATGTGTAGTGATAACAATTCCCAGAATTCTTAATTGATCTCCAGACTGACTAGGAATTTGGTGAGTTGCAGTGCCATCAGTCTGAAAGGTATCAGGCTGAAGAAGGCTTAAGCTAACCCATCCTCTCTTATTGGCTACATTCTCCACTGAAAATATAAGGATACCCTAGAGTCAAGCTCAACCTCTGGATACATCCATGCAAGGTTTTTTGCCAATGGTATGGAAGTAGCTTACAACTGTCTTTTTCTTGGAACCTTTGTTCATCTTTCCAGTTGGAAAGCCTTGGAATTCCTTAGCAGTCTCCCATCCAAATACTAACCAGGCCCAGTCCAACTATGCCCAGCTTCCCAGCTCAGACAGGTATTACTATCCCCTTAAGACTTCTCCCTCCGTATGGCTATAAAAACTAATGCAGCCTGAAGAAATGGGCTATAGAAGGTCAGACATCTTCTTTTAAAAGTATGCTTTTGGTTAGGTGGTCTTTTCAATAAATATAACGAGTGAACTGAGATGTCTAAAGTCAGTGAAACAGTTCCTACCCAAACTGAACATCTTAGAGGTGGTACCTTTTATGGCATGGAAGAATGCCTACAGTAGAAGAGCACCATCCCAGCTTGTGTTAAACTGCTCAGAAGGAATCTTTGCCTTGGCATCCCTCTCTCGCTCTTTACACGAAGCAACAAAAACTAGGTTGCTCTTTAACACCGCCACTGCGCACAGAGTAGCCCACGGTAATGCGGCAATATACTGCACAGGGAAGGACTCTCAAACCAAATTCATTCCTGATCGCTTTTCACCTTCGCGTCTCTGGTGTTACGGAGTAAACAATTTTAATCCCCTCTCTATTGTTATTTCATTTTCGCGAACTCTTGCACTTTTCCATCCCATCATTCGCATCAGGGCGTCGCAAAGTTTCGCCAGTCTTCAGAAGTGAGCCGCACTGAGATCAAAGGAACTTACCTCAAGTCCCCCATAGCAAATGGCACCGGGCGGCCGTTTACATTTCTGAACCGCAGAAAAGCGCACGGCAGCATCGTGCTATTTAGGCGGCGGGCAGCAACGCTGGCGGAAGAACTTCCGAAATACTTTCCCACGAAACGCCCAAGGGACCGGGGAAGCCTGCGGGAAAAGGACGCCTCCTCCTCACTTCCCGGCTGGCTAAGGGAAGCAACGGAGCCGGCCCCGTCACTCGGGTGGCTCCGCGGGGCAGCCGTGGAGCCCCGCAGACTCTCGTTTCGTACCTGGCGGCAGCGTCCCCGCAGAGGAAGGGCTCCCAAGACAACGGCGCGGTCGATGCGGCTGAACCATGGCCGTTGCGAGCCAGGCAGCTGCTCCCGCACCAGCGTGTACAAGAGGGTCGGGTAGTAAAAGAGGCGGGCAGCCCCGGGGCCCAACGCGGTGGAGATCACCATCGCCAGATCAGCCAGGGCCTCCCAGGACCGTCGAGGCGGGCGTGAAGAGTCTTTAGGGCAGCTCATGACACGCAGGGGAAAAGGGACGGGGGCACAGGCATCTCGGCGACGCGGTTGACAGCATCAGCCTCCCGCAGGGAACTAGAATCCTGCGCCGCGGGTAGCCGAACTAGACGAGCGCGCTCATTCGTTAAACGGAGGGGGGGGGGAAGAGAGAGAGAGAGAAGTACCGCGCGTGCGCTTTTCTCTGCTTTTGCGCGTCTCTCCAGTTTCTCGATGGTCTCTCCCGGAAGTGCCGCCATCTTGCGAAACCGGCCTGAGGCGGAGGGAGGCGAGCGATCGCGGGCGGATCCCCTGGGGCAGGCGAGGGCGGTGGCCGCCAGGAGGAGCCCGGGAAGGGCAGGGAACAGACAGCGCGCGGCTGACGGTGAGTGCGCTCGGTCCACAACGTGGGTGGCGTATGTGACTGGATCTCTCCGTTTAAGAATACTCTTCTTTCTCTTTAGTTGGGCCTCGCTACTATCAGACCCGCTTGGCTTGGCTTCCCCTTGCCGGGGTGGGGGTTGGGAGCAGTGGGGGGAGCAGCTGGATACCTGCCCCTTTCTCCCCATCACGGGCTAAGTGTCGGTGCTTTGATAACGACGCCCACCCGCCTAGCTGCGCGGGGTGCTTTCCTTGTACCTAGCTAGTGAGTGTCCCAAGCCCACTAGGAGGAGAATGGTATAGGGAGCGCCCCGGGGAAGGTGGCTTTCTCATCCTATGGTTGTGGTGAAGCAAACACTAAGCCAGGCGCTCCTTCGGGTGGGCTGGGTCTGTCTCCGGGGGGAGAGACGGATCGCAGGGATTCGGAGCGTTGCAAGTTTGCGTCGTCGCCATCCCAGAGGTAGGGGGCGGGGCTCGTCTGCTGGTGGTCGCTTTATGACTTGCGCAGCGCTTCTTCTCCTCCGTTAGAAAGCTCTCCTTCACAGTAAAGCAATTCAGTTTCCCTACTCCGCGGTGGTAAGCGATCTCTTGGTAGTCGGTTTTGGTAAAATGACCCTGAATAGTGATGGAATGGGGAGATGTATTCCTTGGCCTTTGCATAGAGCCCGGATGGGTGCAGGAGGAGGAGGTCGGAATCCCTTGGA